GCCAAAGTTTGATCCACAAAATCGGCAGATAATGCATTTTCTTACCTTATTACTATAACGAAGTAGCCTACTGGGTTCTCTGTCACACACAGAACGCGACGTTGCCGCTTCGTGTTCGAGTACCTATTCGTCAATTATGGCTCCGGATCCACTTAGTCTAAGTAAATGTCGCATATAAATTAAATACACTCTGGATCTAAAAAATCATATTCAGTATGTTTTTTTCGGCCGTTGACAGATCAACAAATGGTGGTCAATTTGCTGACGAGTATATTGAAAACCTGTTAGTGCAGATCCACCGACGTCACACGCGCATCAAGAATATATCAAAGTATATCAGTTTGTGCGACGAGGAGCTGAGCAAACACGTCAAATAGGTGGATCAACAATTGTTCTACCTTCTCACTGGATCAACATTTACCGTGAAAGGATGATTTATATATATATATATATATATATATATATATATATATATATATATATATATATATATATATATATATATATATAGTATTTTTTTAATATTATTTTCATACTTAAGATCTACTAACTTATATAAATACATGCGACATGCACTTACAAGCTATGTTAGTTCTTTATATAACACAATTTTTTTAATTTATTTATATAAAATCCTCTTTTTTGTGGCATCATTATGATTAGTTCTTTTGATTAAAACTACTTTTACGGATTTTATCTACTTTTACGGATTTTATCGATTGATTCCCGACGTTTCGGGCGCTTTCCAGCACCCGAAACGTCGGGAATTAAAAAATAAAAGTAAATAATAAACGCGATAAAATCCGTAAAAGTAGTTTTAATCATGTATAGTGTTCGCGTAAATATAAGAAATCATTAGTTCTTTTTTTTGTTTAAGCATAATTATTGTCGATCCATTTTTTTTGTTGTGTTGAAATGTTTTTTTTTTCATTTTTTTGTCTTTTTTTCCCTTATATAGTTATTTACATAATCCATATACTTAACATCTATGCCTTACATGCTATGATATTTTATTATATTGACTGATTTTTTTTAATTTATTCTTTTTCTTTTTCTTGATGTCATGGAGAGTGCTCCATCTTCAACTGTTTGTGGTATCTGTTGACAGGGCCTCCACGATAGCTGCGTCTCTGTTTCTAATTGCCATTTTCAGATTGTATTATTTGATTCTATTCGTTGTCGCAGCCATGGCACTCTCAACCAGCCTTCCAGTTGCATCGTCGCAATCGTCCGTGTAATAAACACAGCTTTCTGTGTGCCTGGACACTGCCACTACTGCGTGTTGGACGCTGTCATAAATTTTGATCTTCTCGTTGTTGTCCTCATTATGACCACTCTGCCGTATGTGAGACCTTGGGCCTCATATACGGTTAAAATTCGCTACCCAGGACCCGAACCGTATCCCTGGCTGGTAAGGGACTCCTTTTCTGCTTGCGTAAATACAAGATGTAAGGTGTCGGGCGGGTACCTGGTATGACGACTCCCGTGTACCTCTTCCTTTCCAGTGAGTGCACCTGAGATCTGGATGAATAAATGCCACTGTAGATTTCACTCAGGGCATATGCCACATCCATCGGATTCCGGTGCGTACAAAGGAGCTCTTGGCTGATAGTGGTTACGAGGCTTGGTCGAGTATATTGCATCGCAAAGAGATTTTCCCTGTCGATATAAGGGAGTTGATTGATGTCACCAAAAGCCATTACTACGGCCCCGAAATGGTTCATGAGAGCTTCGTCGACTAAAAGTCGAGCACATCTTCTCTTTTGCCTTCTCATACCATTTACTAAAACTGAGGCCATAGTGCGCACTTTTGTTTTTGCGTCAGTGGCTATGCGGTTGGCTAACTTTTCTCTGAGATCTTTAGCTGCTTCTGAATTGGTTTATAACCCAAGTTGTTTTGCCACATCCCGAGACGCCATTGACCCAATTTATTGTCGGCACCGTCCAGTTTTCCCAAGGATCTCCCAATGCACAGGCTCCGAGATGGTTTCCGCCATTTTTAGGATCCTGTCTTCTAGCATCACTCTGGTACAACGGGCGGTGACCACAATAGGGTCGTAGGGGGGGGGAGGTTTAAATACTAGGCTTCCCTGTCGTTCTATCTCCTCCTCATCCAAGGCTACGAAGCCCGCTGACCCGCTATAAGCCGCCATGTGATGACCCATTTTACCTCTTATGACGGTAGATGTTTTGTTTTCATAAATTGCGGCCTCTGCTTCCTCGAACTGCACCCCAAAGAACTCATGACTACCGAGGTGGAAACTTTGTAATATATTTTTGCATGTAGTTTGGTTCACCTCAATTATCAATTACTCAATTATCAATTATTAAAATATATTGATTACCTCAAAACCTCAAGAGTTGCTTTTATGAGGGCTTTAAACTCTAGGAAAGTATTGATTATGTGGTCTTTAGGCTCGACCGCCGGTAGAAGTTTTGGAGGGCTGACACGTCCCGAGCAGGGTCTAGTGTGGGTGGGTTGGGATTTCTTGAGTACTCTTGGAGGCTCTCTTATTAAGTTATCGGCTTGCCTTAACTTGCTCAACTTTCGCATTGCTCTTCCTGAAATGCTCTGGGCCGCTGCACTGATGGTTTTAATTAGTGCATTTACCCCGCTTTGTGACTCAGAACTTTTGCTAAGTTTTTCCCTGGCTGCGGCCTTTTCTTTGGCCGTTTTCAGTTGCAGGCGTTCTGAGCCACTAAGTTTCTCTGGATTTGCTGTAAGATGTTGAGTTGTCTTTGTTGAGTCATGATGTTTGAGGAAGCTCAGGTTTTCACCCCTATCCTCATACACGACTATTTCATGTATGTTTGAGGCTTTTATGCAACTAATGTGGTCCATGTCCTCACCTTTCTTATATAGGACCACCATGGCATCCACACTTATGATGCGGGGTATGTCAGCTGTCTCTACCTCACCGAGTCTCGTTAGCAGTGAGCATGCCTGGGCGAATGGGGTTTTTTGTTCGCTCCATGTGAACAGCAAGATCGTTTTATTTTTCGATCTTACTATTCGACATCGTTGCTTTGCGACCTCTATTTCAACTAGCGCCTCGTATGTTTTGCACTTCATGCTCGTTTTGAGAGTACTGCCGTTTAGTAAGCTTGCGAGACCGGGAGATATTTTGAAATAGTTCCGGCCAGTTGTTGAGCAAAAACGTAAGCCGAAACGCTCTGTGTTGTTATCCATGAAGAAAGCTACTCCTTGATTTCTCAGGCCTGGGTTACCTCTTTCAGCGAATGCAAATAGCTGATGTTCTGCTTTATTGGCTGGGGTGCTCTTCTCTTTTACGAAGACCTCTGCAAATTCCGCAACAGTTTTCTGCTGCCTGGGGCATGGATAATTCGTGGCATTACGCTTAGCAGCGGCGCGAAAGATGGACTCCACGAATGCCAGAAATTTGGGCCGTTTGTCTTCATCTTCGATGATTTTGTGTAGGTCAGACTTGTTAAGATTGGTGTTAATGCAAAACTCGAGATCCAGACATGCCGCCTGATAGCGGGGACACTCCAGAATCACATGCCACACTGAATCACTGACATTGGGATCGCACTCGCACCCTGGAGTATCCTTAAGCTTAAAGCGGTGCAAGTACTCCGCAATTCCATCATGTCCTGTTAACACTTGTACCTGTGTGAGTGTCGACTTCGTCTTTCTCACTATCCGGTATGCTATTGCAACATCCGGTAGGAATATTTTGGTGACTTGCCCAGTGGTCGAGGTCTCGTATCTGTCCTGCCAGATTCGTACAGTTTCCTCTCTGATTTTCTTTTTAACGTAGGATATGGGGATTTTATTATAGTCTAGAGTGGCTGTCTCCCGCAGTGCCGCCGCCTTGGCAAGCTCATCGGCTCTCTCATTTCCAGATGTGCCTACATGAGCCCTCAGCCAAAACAGCCGTATCACTCTTCCCTCTTTTCTCATCTTCCCTATGCTTTCTTGGATGGCCTTTGATAGGGGGTGGCTTGCTTTAGGGTTCGCCAGCAGATCGAGCGAAGATCTTGAGTCGCTCATGATGTTTACGACAGATTCGGTGCTCTATTCAGCTAGCTTGGTCGCCCTGACAAGGCATAGAGCTCGAATTTGAAAACTGTACAGGATGGATCCAGTCTAAAGGTGGAACTACTGATCTCCCTGCCGTCTTCACACCACGTTAAAGCTGCTCCGACCCTCCCTTCTATCTTACTTCCATCGGTGTATATGTGAGGGCCAGTTAGTTGGTGGAGGTTTGTGTTTTCGATTGTTTCCAGTAGCTCATATTCCAATGTGGCCGATGGAGGAAAAGGGAGATCTCCCGCAGGTTAAGTGCCCGGGGAGCGGCCAACGCTCCGTGTGATAGTTCGGAGAAGTTCTATATATACTGTTTATAATTCGGAATGTTGATAGCGCGATTTAGGCTTCGGTGTGTTTTCGCTTGTGGTGGTGACGACAGCGCCGCTACATCACCCCCTGCTCAGACCGGAGGTCGTTAGTGCAGACTTGTTGCCGACGAATGTGCAAGTGCCAGTGGATTGCCTTGTAGTCTGCGGTGAGTCGACAAGAAGGCAAGTAATCTGCGAGAGTGCCGTGAAGCAGAGGCGAGCAGTAAGGCTCAGAGCCTGTGCCGAACACTGTATAGCGCAGAGAGTAGCTTGAAGGAACAGGAAGCATTATTATTCCAATGCTGCGATGAACCTTGTGAAGCTAGATGGCTTGCAGGATATGAAGACTGCAGACGATATCTACTCGGGAGCTAATGGGTGGGGTATTATATGACGATGATGAAGCTTGAAGTTTCCGAAGGTTGTAGGTTGCGTGTTCAGATCACGTCGGGGTCACCACTGTCCTCGTGAAGGAAAAGGGGAGATCTCCCGCCGGGCAAGGTGTTGTGCCCAGGGAGCGGCCAACGCTCCGTGTGATAGTTCGGAGAAGTTCTATATATACTGTTTATGATTCTGAATGTTGATAGCGCGATTTAGGCTTCGGTGTGTTTTCGCTTGTGGCGGCGACGACAGCGCCGCTACACCAATTTGACGAGTTTAGAGGGATGAGGTTGGTCCAAGTGATTTACACAGTTTTCAAACTCTCTTCCTGGTGGTAAATAGTCCAGTGTGCCTTGTTTCCTGGTTTGGTACACGCTGAACGCTTCTTTTATTCTCAGGTCTAGCGGAAGCGGACTCGAGATGACAAGCGCGGAAGTGAGCGATACCGTGCGGTACGCTTTACAGATCTTCTGCGCGAAGCCCCTTTGCAACGTGTTGAGTTGGTCTTTGATCATCTGAAGCGCCAGCGCCATGAACATCTCGTAGAGGGACTGCAGACTATCTAAAGCTGTTAGCTTACACTCCCTCTTCATATTCCCTGCCATTTCTAGCGCTTCCTTCCCTCTCAGAAGCATTTCGTTCGCTTCCTTTGTTGCCATATCCATTTCCACCCCCAGTCGCCTGTTGGAGTTAAAAAGCAGGCTTGGTCTTCCTTTTTCCGGTGCCTCCGATAGTGGTGATTCCGGCGCAGATGTGATCGAAAGTTCTTCGTCCGATAAAACTGGAAGTGGAGGAATTTCTTCCTGCTTCCAGTTAGCTACTTTGTCGAGAGCCGCAAAGGTCGAGGTCACAAACGGAGGGTCGGATCGAGCTGTCGCTTTTAACAGAAGTTTCCGACATTTTAGTTCGCAGAGTGAAGGTGTGCGAAGAAGCTTCTTTGCTTGTTATGGATGCGTCTGTCGGAGCAGAGTCCGCTGGACGTTTTCCTGTTGCAGGATGAGATAATGGCTGCGGCAACTTCTCGCTGGTGTTGCTTTTGTTAAACCAGATTTTGTAAGTACTTTTTTCCCGCAGCGATCGTGGAGGTCTAGGTGGAGCAACAGAAAGGTTTTGGGAAGACTTGTTTAAGAGCAGTCGCCACATCCGACAATACTACTTTATTTCCTGACATTATTATTTTATAATATGAAAAAATTTAAAGGATTCTCTAATTGTAAGTTGCCTTAGTAGCTATAAATATAGGTAATGCCTTATAAAATATTTTGAAATTATTATATTTATATTTATATTTTTAATATTTATTTTTTAATATTTTAAATGTATATTTTTAATATTTAATGATATTGCTTATTTTTTTTTGTGATCACTGCTTGTGTTCTTCGATGGTTGAATTGCAGTGAGGAGTACGATGGACGCGAAGAAAGAGCCCGTTATGGGATCTCCGGTTAGTATGCTGTGAGTCCTTGAGTATTCTTGAGGTGTTACTGTCCGGGCTGGTATCGGACTGTGGTGGAAAATCAAGATTCTGAAGGAGCCAGAAGGTAGAGCTCTTTTTCCTGATTCAAATGAGCCCTTACACGGGGAGTCTAGCTCCTCTGGTTAAGTAAGGGAGGAGAGGTAAGCCTCGAGGGGGGAGAGGGGGGGGGGGTAAATTCACGGGGGAGCTTATGTATGGTATAATATAAATGAGAGGGCGTAGATAGTAGGGGGGTTGGGGGTGGTAGGGGGGGTTTCTTAAGGAGCATATATCTGGTATAAAATAAAAGAGGGTAGGGGGTTAGGAGCGTAGGGAGGGTGGAAGAGGGTGTTAAAGGGGGGTCAAGGGGGGTGTTATACGGGGGGGAAGCGATATGTGTGGCGGGGTCTTGAGAATCTGATTCAAATGAGTCCAAGCTCGGGTGGTCAGGAATAAGGGGTCTAGGAGTTCCCTCGGGGTTTACCCGATGGCCGTCGAAGGTGTCTTCAGCTGCGGCGATTGTATGCTCGGAGGAGTCCTCGGTCCGTCTTCGAAGGCTCCACTGATGTCTTCACGGTCGCCAGACGCCTCGTGTTCAGTGACTCGCTTTAACCTCAACGTCTGAAAGCACGTTGCAACCACGAGGTTTGAGGTTAAGTTGTTAATTTTAAGGAGTCAATAACGTCTGCGTTTGTGGGCCGATTTTCTTGATTTTTTCGCCGTTTGACTGATCTTTATAGCGGCTCTCAAAAACTGAAATTTACTTAGCAATTTTGCTGATGGTGTCGACACTATTTATCCCCAAAGTTAAGAGGCTACTGCTCCAAAACCAGCCGATGTACAGATTTCTCCCCAATCACACTGATGAATTGCACACTCAAAAACTTTTTCACAGCACTTCCACTCGCGTAGCTCAAAAATTGCTATTTTTTAAGCAATTTCTCCGTGGAGCTGATGTTATATATATGTCACTTTCCGATGTGTACGGTTAGGTTAGGTGAGGTTAGGTTCCCCCCCGAACGGGTTCCCGCCTTGTCGTTGGCGGGGGGGGGCTTAGAAGCCGTGGCTTGATCACCCACGGCGAAACAAAGAGGAACCCACATGGCTGGTCCGAGGTGAAGGGCCGGCCCGAGGTGGCCACTCCGAGTGGGCTTGGGAAGCCCACTTCGGATGTGTGTTGGTGGACTGCGGGGAGAGGGGTGTCCGCACCACCTACCGCTGCAGCCGAGGTGGAGTCACTGAGGAAGAGAAGTGATGGTATGGCGATGCGCCACTTGCCCTATCCTCCGCGACTCAAACGGGGCCGCACCGTTAATGCGGTGGTGGTGGGGCTGCGGGGGGAGAGGATTGTCGGTATTGCGAGGCGCCGCTTTCCCTACCCTCCGCAGCCGAATCTTGGTTGGCGGCGGAGCCATAGACCAGATCCGCCCCTGGGGTCGGGAAGGCTAGTACTTTTAAGTGCTCGTTTTTCCTGGCCCCATGCCCTTCGTGCATCGGACGCGAGGGCGTCTGTTGCGTAGATGTAATTGGAGGCCGTGGAGGAAGGCGCGCCATGTGTTCTGGTGCGCCTTACTTGGGAAGGAGAACGGGGAGGAATATTCCTCTCCCGAGGAGGTGCTGCCATGGGGCGGCAGACGCTGATAGGGCCGCGGATGTGTACAAAAGCGTTCCCGTGGCCCTGCCAATATGCGAAGAAGGTGGAACACCATGGGGTTTTAGTCGGTGCGAGTCTGACATAACCCGTCCTTGCCGCCGCGAGGCGGGTATGCGTAGGCATTTCCCCATGTAAAAAAAAAGGTGAGGTTAGGTTAAGTTAGGTTAAGTTAGGTTAGGTTAGGTTAGGTTAGGTTAGGTTTTTTTACTACTCTACAGACTCGTATTCCGTACTCTTTATTACATTTGTTTTTAATTATTATGACATTACATATGTAGTTTCTAAGCTATAAAATCTCTCCGCGTTTATTGATTATACATTTTTCCATTAACATAGATTAGTATATCATGCCTTATATCTAATGGTTAGTATTAATTTCTTTTTTGGTTTTTTCTCCTCTCTTTGTTTTTCTTTTTTTATTTCCCTTTTTTTGGTTTGTTTTATTTTGTTCTTTTTTTCTTCTTATTTTTTTTTCATGCACCTTAAACAATGTTTTTACAACTTTTATGTCTACTTACTTATAACTAACTTGTAACTAATTCATTAGAACTTTCCAGGGTATTTTTTTTTTATTTTGTTCTTTTTTCCTTTTTTTCCTTTTTTTCATGCATCTTAAACTATGGATATTAAACATCTAATACTTAAATTATAACTAACTTATAACATATATATTCTCAAAAAAATTCCATTTTGTTGCGGTTATGTCACTTAACATCCGTTTGAATGTCGTATACGCCGCTTCGTCTCGGACCACGTTCATAATGTTTATTGCAACCTTTAAGTCTCGATGATGTATTGCCATTTTGATGTTGTAATCCCTAATTCTGCTTGTGGTGGCAGGCGGCTCGCAAAATGAAACAGGCAACTGCATCTTCTTCACTCCAATCGGTGTAGTAGATGCAATGGCTCGTATGGCACGAGATTGCCACCACTGCATGGGGAATACTGTTATACAGGCGTTGTTTCTCTCTATTTGATCGCAGGATTACCACCGTCTTGCTCACGAGCCTCTGAGCTTCATGTATGGTTAGAGTTCGCGATTCCTTCCCTTTTCCGTAGCTCTGGCTGATGAGATTTTCTTTTTCAGCCTGGGTGTGTTCCAAGTATAATTTTCAAGGGACTTTGGGATCTGTGAACCCGTGTACCTCGTTAGCACTAGAGATCGCAACCTAGTATTGGAGGAATATATGCCATCATAGATTTCGTTTAGTGCATATGCTACATCCAGTGGGTTTCTGTGCGTGCAGAGCCATTCTTGGTTGATTTTGCCACTAAATTTGGTCGAGTGTATTGCAGTCGGAACAAATCATGCCTATCGATATATTATGGCAGATGGTTGTTGTCGCCTACAATGAGAATCTCGCTTGCACCCGTGATTTGTACAGCCGTTACTATAGCCCCAAAATGGTTCATGAGCGCTTCGTCGATTAAAAGACGGGAGTATTTCTTAGACATCCTTATGCCAATTTACCAAGATTGAGGCCATAGTTCGCACCTTCCTTGCTGCGTCGGCTCCTACACGTGATGCTAGCCTCTCCCTCAGGTCAATTGCAGCTACAGTTGTTGTAGTGATTATGATATCTTTTTCCTCCTCGAAGTTGTTACTAACCCAAGATGTTTTTCCACACCCGGGTACGCCATTGACCCATGTTATTTTTGGCAACTGCCAATGCCCAAGAGAGCCGCCCTTCTCCAAAGTCACGGACACAGCCTTGAGCCTGTCCGAGATCTCGTCCTCGAGCATTACTCTTGTACACTTTGCTGTTACCACTATGTGGTCCTGAGGAGGTGTTCGAAAGACAAGTTGGCCCAACCTCTCTGTCTCAGTCCCGTCCAAAGCCACAAAATCACCCGTTGCATTGTATGCCGCCATGTACAATCCCGTCACATTCCCTTTAATTACTTCAGCTGTGTCGTTGTTGTACACAGCAGCCTCGGATTCCTCGAGTTTCACCTCAAGCTGATCTTCGCAACCCCGATGAAAGGAATCCAAGATGGTCTTACAGGTTATGATGTTAACCACTCTGGTAGCTTTTACGATAGCTTTAAACTCGAGGAATGCATTTCTCCAGTGGTCCTGGGGCTACGACACCTCCCTGAGACTCGGCAGAGTGACTTGTCCTATGTCTACTTTCGTCCATGTGCATGGGGATTTTCTTGTTTGACCTTTGGGAAAATGCTTTGCGGCGCTCTTGACAGCAGCAACCATCTTCTCTGTTGATCGCAGATATTCCTTTTTCTGGATTACTGTGGAGATTGCAGCAATGACTTCACCGAAGGTGCTAGCGACTGCTGCTACTTTGTCTATTGTTCCGGCTGGGATTATTCGTGTCCGCTTATCTTTTCTCCTTTTGTCGCCATTTTTTGTTGCAAGCGTTCGGATCCATTTAATATTTCTTCTGGGCGTATTTCGGGGTGTTCTTTGCTGTCAGTGGGGTACGAGCGTGAAGGTTCATTGGGTCTGAATGGTTTCATAAAACTGAGGTCTTCACCTCTGTCTTCGTATACCACCACCTCATGATGTTCTGAGGCTTTTAATACTCCCATGTAGTATTCTACCTTCCCTTTTTCTTATTCTACCACCATAGCATCTACGCTTATTATTTTTGGTGATACTTCTTTAGCCTCACTTGCATCCGTAAGCACTGCTAGCATTGAGCATGCCTGAGCGAACTCGGCGATGTCGTCGCTTTTTCGAATAGTGCAATGGTTTTGTTCCGCATACGCACTATTCGGCAGTGATTGTTTGCTACTATTAACTTCTGTAACGCCTCATACCTCTTACGTTTTATGCTCGTTTTGGAGGTGCTGCCTTTCAAGAGTAAGGCGAGGCCAGGTGAGATGATTATTCTATTTGGAGCCATCGCGTTGCAAAAGCAAATACCCAACCTTTCGGAGGAGTCGTCCATAAACATGGCTACCGTTTTAAGTCTAATACCTGGGTTGCCTAGTTCAGCATATTCCAGTAGTTTATTTGCAGGCTGATTAATTGTTCTTTTGTGTTCTATGTCTATGTTTTGTGTTATTATATTACTTAAATTCGTCGTTTGCTGAGTTAAATCAGAAGAAAGAGTACTGTTTCTTTTAGCAGCTAAAGGGATTGTATTTTCTGCAAACTTTAACCCTACCGTGGGCGCGCCTTTTCATGGAACGTAAGTGGGCGCGTGTATAGCATTTTGCCGCTCTTAGAAAAGCTAAAATATTACATATTAAATGTTTAAATTTACTATAAATGAGAAAAGGTTGGCCTTAAATAAAACATAAGCTTTTAGAATAATTATAACTTTTTAATTCAGTCTCAAAAAATCAACTTAAAGTTATTCTCAAAAAAATGTAACAAAATATGGAACGACTTCACATAATCTCTTATATAATAAACAAAACCGTAAAAAATTAGAGAAAAAAAACTTATTAAGCATCTTGGCCGTATTCCCGGCAAAACAACCCTCACACAGGTAAACACAGTGCTCGTTGCACAGTAATTTAGCACATACTTTGCACCCTTTTTTTGTTCGTCGATTTTTTCTCGTAGGACATATTGAGCATATTTCCTCTCGCTTTTCATGTTTCTTGGTTCTCCATTGGTACAAATCGAGCGATTTGTCTTTTTAGTGAACTCGGGAATGTCATTATGCTAGATCTTTTCATTAAATGTGGCCTGACCAGGGCGAGGGATCTCTCTTTTAGGTACATTCTACGCAGTAAGACAGTTTTAGTGTTTTCTGTGTAAATAATTTGACTATTTATCCCGCCAATATTCAAAATTGAAAAGAATAATCTCATTGGCCACCTCCGAGTCATTCTGCCCACAGAGTATTATTCTTTCATCTGGTCAACAGTATCCACTCCACCCTTAGTACCGTTATAAAACGTGATTACTTCGGGCTTCGCATCATCACCGGTTGATTCATCTATCTTATAGTCATCATGCAATGTTGACAAAAGTAGAACGACTTTTTTTGGTTTCTTGTTAGGAACATAGGATACAAGCACTTTTTTTTCATTGAAACCAAACATTGTAGTTGGGGTAGCTCTTTCTTTCGTATTGAGAAACTGCAGCGGAATTTATTTTTTATTTTTTCTCAAAGTACCTACAATAGTTGTACGGTAAGAGTGCACAAGTTGATTAGCAAGTGGAATGGATGTGAAATAATTGTCCATTGTAAGGTTTCGGCCTGTGTTCAAAATATTTTTGACCAATCTCATCACCAGAGATGTAGGACTATTGTCAACAGAAAAGCTTCCTTCTGGTTGCTTACCTGCATAAACTTCCAAATTACTGGTATAATAGGGCTTTGAATCAACGAGAGCGTTTATTTTTATGCCGTACTTAGCTGGTTTATTTGCCATGTAAACACGAAACTTGCATCGTCCTCTAAATGACTCCAACATCTCATCAATAGTACCATTTTCTCCAATCTCATATTAAGCTAGACAGTTACGTACAAAAGATTCCAAAAATATCTCTCATTGCCGCCATGTTATCTAGCTTGACCCGCTCCGTTCTAGTATGAATGTCGTCAAAACGAATGTTCCTCATTAAAAAGTAAAACCTCTTGATTGACATGGTTGCTTTTAATATATCAGGGGAAGTACCATCATCATTCCACATTTCGTGAATATTCACATGATGCATTTTTTTCAAGCCTGCCATCAAAAGAAGACCTATCAAAGCTTCTATTTCTAATATATCAGTTTCTTTAGTATCTCTTTCTCGTAAAAACTTGTGCTGGTTAGCACGTATGCGGATGTTAGTAAAAGAAACTATACCTTCTAGCATTTGTTGAGTAATGAAAAGGCGGAAGCAATCTAATGGCGTCTTTGAATTTTTAGCATTTTCTCCACGCACTCCAGGAGGATTCGTAACTATATTTTCAGCTCTTGTTCGTATGAAAGGTCTTGAAGGAGGACTTTTTAACCATTTTGTTCCATCTTTACCTTTGTACACAGGCACTCTTGGAGGACGATTTGTAGTAGGTTCAATGAAATTTCTCTCAGTTTGAAATGTTCGAATTGGTCTTACTCGTATGTGAGCCAAAGGTTCATCGCTCGATGAATTTGAAGATGTTGATGAAGATCTAAACGACAAACGTTCACGATGTTGACGTGCACTGCGAGATGGTCTCCGGGAGGTGACAGGAGAACGGCTGCGACTCCTAGGAATCGTTGTCAATTGATTGAAACTAGTCGATGGCCGATGATCGACTAAATTGAGTCGATGGAAACATGTCTCCGATGACATCATTTCATCTCCTGACTGTTCGGTATCACTATTATGTTCCAAATTTTCACTGTCCCGATCGCTTTCAGACATACTTTCGTCGAAACATTGTGCACCGGTCTCTTCTAAATCAGACTCCTCTAACCACGAACAAATTTGCGCGTCTTGCTTATTCATTTTGCTGAAATGAAAAGCTGAAAAGATACAAAACAATACCTCAGATTAAAAAAATAACTCTAAATTTCATAAAATTATGCTACACGAGTACATAAATAAACAAAACCATGTAGTACTTACCAAGAAATAAATGTCATTTGGCCAAAAATAAATATGTTACAACGTTAAATTTTAACTACGTCAGTGGGCGCGCACTTAGCAATTTGCCGCGTCGCAGGACTAGTGCACAACAACTTCGTCCTCCTGTGGTTGGCTGCGCACTGATTGTTTCGTAACTACAAGGGGAGGGTGCGGGAGGAGTGTACACGCAGCTACTGAGACGCTTGACCTTCAATAACTAACGGTTTAAATATTATTAACATTTTTTTACAAAGTGCGGCAAAATGCTCATAGCGCGCCCACTCTAGGGTTAAGAAGTGCGATCTTTTATCAGCGTCATCCAAGATATTGTGTAATACTTCTTTATTTATTTTTATATCTAGCTTAAACTCAAGGTCCATTCTCGCCATCTGGAATCGTGGGTAGTCCAGTATGATGCGCCAAACAGACTCCCTGATGTTGGGGTTGCATTCACAGCCGGGACTGTTTTTCATCTTGAACGGATATAAGTACTCAGCTATTCCGCCGTGTCCTGTCATGACTTACACTTGGTAGGGTGTCAGTTTTGCTTTCTTCACGATGCGATGAGCTTTTTCTACATCGGGGAACAACGTTGTAGTGACTTGCCCTGTACTGGAGGAGTTGTACCAATCCTGCCATTTCCGTACAGACTCTTCTCTGATCTTTCTTTTGACATAAGACAACGGGACTTCTGCGTAGTCTGGGACAGTAGTGGCTTGTTGGGTTGCCGTCTTTGCTAGCTCATCGGCGCATTCGTTTCCGGCAGTCCCCACGTACTCTCGTAGTCAGAAAAACCACACTTGTCTCTCCTGTGACCGGATGTCTTCTATGCACTCTTTTATATGTTTTGTCAGAGGATCGATCAACTTAGGGTTTCCCAACAGGTCGAGTGAGGACCTAGAATCACTCATGATGTTTACTGTATTTTCTTTGCTATTCTTTGCCAATTGAACCGCCCTGTAAAGTACGTAAAGTTCTGATTGAAACACGGTGCACGAAGGGGCTAAGCTGAAAGTGGAGTAATGGATTTCCTTGTCTCTCTCCCACCTAGTTAGAGCGGCTCCGACTTTTCCCTCTATCTTGCTGCCATCTGTATATATTTGGAGGCTGGTAACCCGGTGGGAATCCAAAGATTCAAGATCTGCGCCCTCAAGGAGCTCGTACTCTGTTGTTATGAGTTTAGAAGGGTGTGGAAGATCCAGATAGCTCACTAGCTAGGTTTATTTAGAGCTTGTTATTTCTACATGACTATAATGCTATGCTATTTACGAATTGTTTCTTATGTATGTAAATTGTTATCTGCTTTATTATCTATAAGTTATTAAATACATTAGTCCATAATTTTGCTGCCATTTTCTTTGCTAATGATTTTTAATGCCAGAAGGGCAAACTTCATAAAAATAGGTCGGCAATAGTCATCTTCTATGATACATTTTAGTTTTTCTGGTGTTATCGTCATTTCCATGCTGCACTCGGTCTCGAATCTTTCTTTCCCGAAACGTGGGCAGTCTATTACAATGTGCTCTACAATTTGCTCTGCATTTTCATCACATATGCAGCATTGGGGATGGCGACAATTTATATTTATACAAATAAGCTTTGTTTCCACCATGACCGGTAAATAAATGTGTTACTAAGTTGTTAATTTTTATGGTTTTTAATATCTTATATCCTTTAACAATATTTGGAAAGAACATCTTCGTTATACTGCTGGTCGTCGTCTGCTCGTACTTCCGTTGCCATATTTGCAGAGTTGAGTTTCTGGTGAGCCGCTTTACATATGACAATGGGAATTTGTCATAAGCCGAGCTTTGTTTATTTTTTGTAGCTGCTTGCTTAGCAAGTTCATCTACTCTTTCATTGCCTTGTATCCCACAATGTGCTTTTATCCAATAAAGCATAACTTGCTTTTGGTTGTCTTCTAAACACTAAACTTGTCACAGATAGTTGTGATAGCCGATCTTGAGTCGCTGAATATGTTTGCTCCTGAATAATTTTTGCTTATTATATATTTTAGTGCTCTCTGTATTGCCATCATCTCCGCTTGGTAAACACTGCAGTAGCTTTCCAATCTAAAAGTTATTGTTTTAATTTCGTATCCGTTGTGCCATATTGTTACTGCTGCGCCCACTTTTCCGTCGATCTTGCTTCCGTCGGTGAAGATTCTAACCCAATCGTTTTTTATCTCGTCAATATCCTTCTGGCTATTTATGTGATCGAAATTACGTTGTTTTCTTTGGCAAGGATGTGTTAGATCATAAGGGCCTATTCTTGTTTCCATTTGTCTTCCTGGTGGAAGCTCTATAGCTTTGCCTCCCTTAATTTCATATATTCTAGCGTTTTCTTTGGCTCTTAGCGCTAGCGGTATTAGTTGAGATAAGAGTGTGCTGGAGATCAGGGAGTTAGTTTTATGTCCTTTACTAATTCGTATACCAAAAATCTGGGTCATTCTGTTGAGAATGCATTCAATATACTTTTTTTCTGTTGTTTCGGCCCAGCAGCTGGCAGCATACAATATAGTTGGTTCTACCACTGCCAAATAGATTATTCTCAAAATCTCTGAGTTCAGGCCCCAGTTAGCCCTCGCTGCTCTAAAGATCATTTATTAAATATTAATTGCCTTGCGACAAACATTATCCAGATGTGGCTTGAAATTTATATTTCTGTCTATTGTTAAGCCCAGAACTTTTAGTTGATCCGAGGATTGTAGTTCTACTTCTTCCATTTTTAGCAAAGGCCGATGAAATTTTTGTTTTCTTGTTATTATCACTGACTGAGTCTTATGGGGAGCAAACCTTAATTTATGTTTTTTGCTCCATTCTTTTATTATTTTAAGAGTGTGGTTTAAGGTTTCCTCCAGTTTTTGCCCATCTTGGTTAATGGCGATAATCAAAATATCGTCAGCGAAGGCTTGTACGTGGGGTTGCGAGTTCTCCGTTGCTTGCAGTAATGGATCGAGTAGGATATTCCAGAGCATTGGCCCACATGTAGAGCCCTGGATACAACCTCTATTTGTAGGTTTCTTAATTTCTTGCTCCGCGTACTTGAGGTATATTTCTTTTTCCGACAGATAATTACTTATGAGCCTTAACATATATGCTTCAACATTTTTGGAGTGAAGTTCATTGACAATGGCCGGCCACCAAGCATTATCGAATGCGCCTTCTATGTCCAACGACACTAGTACAACTCCTTTTTATTAAAGTGATCGTGTCGTATAGGGCATCTTAGGTACTTTTTTTGTGGGGTAAAGCCGTACTGTCTGTGGTTCAATTTACTCTCTTTTCCAAGCTGCCACTGGACCCGGTTAACAAATAATTTTTCTAGTATTTTACCCAACACAGGTAATAGGCCGATTGGCCTGTATGCCTTCGGTTGAGTATAATCCTCTTTGTTTGGTTTGGGAATAATCTTTATAGTCGCTTTTTTCCACAATTTTGGGAAATGACCTACTATCAGGCATTTATTGCTCTCAAACGCAGCTTGGCAAATGTCCGATGTTAGTCCGTCTGCTCCAGGAGCTTTCTTTGGATTCATGTTCCTGAGAATTTGTTCAATTTCGTCTTGAGTAGATTGATTAAAACTACTTTTACGGATTTTATCGCGTTTTATTTATATTAATTTTAATACCCGACGTTTCGGGTGCTTTCCAGCACCCATGGTCACGGGGGACTGAGGTGACTGACGTCCCGATGTCTCAAATAATTCTTTAGCTTTCCTAGATGTGTTAGTCATCCGAAATCCTAACAACACCATAGGTCATACTGTGTATAGAAAAAAGACCCATACAAACCGATACTTAAATGGTGAACATAATGATTTCTTATATTTATATTTATCTAGACTGCAGACAGGGAAGTCTGCAGTCTGTGAACACGTACAGGATCGCCCCCGTCACTACATCAGATTTGATAGATCGCAGATCCTCGCTAAAGAACACCGATTCCTTCCAAGGATGATTCGCGAGGCTATTGAAATCAAAAAACATCCTAATTTCAATAGAGAAGATGGCTGGGTGCTACCATCTGCTTGGGATCCTATAATAAATAAAATTAAATCCCAACCCAAGCATACAACTGCAAGACTCCAAGATACCATAAGTTCGTACTGCATAGATCGGAACAAAAGTTAAATTTTAATCTATGGTAACCGCGGTTAACTATGACATATGGACGTTGAACATCTCAGTCCTGCCCGTGACCATGAGTGCTGTAAAGCGTTCGAAACGTCGGGTATTAAAAGTTAAATATACGCGATAAATTCCGTAAAAACTAGTATTATTTAAATGGTGAATCTCACCATCATCCTTCACAGTTAGCTACCGTGGGCAAATCTTTGTTTCAGAGAGCATGAGGGATCTGTGACAGCAAACACGACTTCAGCACGTCAAGCAGGTTCTGCACGACAACAAGCTTCTGGTCCCGCGCCTCCGTCACAGTGACCGAGTGAAGCCGGCCACAGTCGAGCGTGTGCCTGCTATACTACCATATGTCAGAGGTGTCACAGACAAGATTGGCTACATCTTGAAGCGAGCTTCTATTAGAACATTCTACAAGCCGCCGAAGAAGATTAGTCAGTTCTTACCATCCGTCAAGTGTCATATTCCTCTACAAGATGCAGGAGTGTACAAGCTTGATTGTGATTGTGGTCTCTCATATATAGGGCAAACAAAGAGATCAATTAGAACCCGCGTAAAAGAACACATAGCTGACGTGAAGCATCAACGTTCCGGGAAGTCTGCAGTTTGCGATCATATTCTAGATGGCCCCTAACCATTACATCAGATTTGATAGACCACAAATCCTCGCGAAAGAACATCGATTCCTACCAAGGATGATACGTGAGGCTATTGAAATCAAAAAATATCCTAATTTCAATAG